TGCGGTGGTAGGTGATTAGGGTGGGTTGATAGAAAAGTCCATAAAACGGTATCTGTTCCATTTAGTGCGATGGGGGATAGGTTGTTTGTTACTGTTGGTTGTGTTGGAGTGGTGGGATTTTGGGTATTTGATGTGGGCATACGCAGTCTTTCTCTTTCAACTGTCCATAGTTTCCCGTTGCCTAGAATCAGGGAGATGAATTTATTAATGATCTCTTGTTTCTTATCTGGGGCATTTTGTAGGGATTGGAGTTTCGTGTATGTTCTGTTCCATTGTGCTTGTATTTCGGTTTCGGCCGTCTGTTTAATGGCTATGAGGGGGTTTTCAGGGGTATTACTAGGAACTTCAAAGGCTGCTGTGCATCTCCCTTTCCAGATTGTCCAGAGGGTCGATTTTTTTATGAGTGAGAAGAAAAGATGCTCAAAACCTTTGAGGGGTGGGTTTTGATCTACCTCTAGGAATAGGGTGCCAGGGTTGATCACGATGGTTTTATTGGAGTGTTTGTTCCAGGTTAATTCTATATCGTGCCAGAGTTGCTTTGTCTTTGGGCAAAAAATCTATGAAGCAATGATTGAGTGATTCTTCGAGTTGGGTGTTGCACACCTTGCACCACGATGTTTGCTCAGTGTCATTATCTTTCTTTCTTCTTTGCGATAGCCAGAGATTGATGGGTACTGCACAAAATGTTATGAGCCATAGCAGACTAGCTAGTTTGGGTGGTCTTGTGCCAAAGATCAAGGTCCATGATGAGTTGATGTTGACTGCTGTGATGGTATTTTCCTCCTTTTCCCATTTTTTTTGTATGATTGTGTGTATGGAGGGGGGTTTGTTGTGGAGCTTGTAGCCTAACTTGGCTGTGTAGTCAGTGAGTGCATAACGGCGCTCTCTTGTGGAATGCGGGCTGGTTCTAGTCCAGGACCATTCAGCTGGATCTATTTCAAGGCGTTTTATTTCTGTTGCGGGTTGGTAGACTCTGTTTCTGTCCCCTTCTATGACTCGGATTCTTCTGAGATTGGCTGAAATGAAGGCCCCTTCTGCCCTTGGTTCTTTGCTGATGAAACTAGCTGGGTTTCCTGGTTTCTGTAGGGGATAGATGAAATAGAGTATCCACTTCTGTAGGTTGTTGTTTGTGACTCTTAAGTATTTATGTGGGTTGTATTTGTTCTCTGTTTGATGCACAATCTCCCCACATCCACTTTTGATTAGTCTTCAATAATTGATGCCATTCTAGAGGTAGGCTTTCGATGATGTGAGTGATGTTGGCCTGCAAATTGTGGCACCCTGTTAGTAAGTTCTGCAGATCCTTTGCTGTCTTCCAGTTGTTTGTTGGTTCGTTCTAGAGATGTTGCACTCGCCATACGCCTTTCTCTATCCAATGTCCCCATTTGATTTTTGTTTTGGTGAGAGAGAAGCTGGGGCCATTTTTGTCTTTGATCCATGGATTGCCGAAAAGGGGATTGTCTGAGAACTTCGTCTTTTTTCTTTGGGCCGATTTTATTATTTGGGAAGATCTTCTTCCATATGCGGATGAGTTGTTCCCATAATGATTTTGTGTTTCCTTTCTCTGTTTCCTCGTCTGTGTTGGGAGGGGGGTTGCTGTTGTTCTTCTCTCTTGGGGGGGGATTCATACGGTGCCAAGTCCTTGATGTGACTTAGGGCTAGTGGTACCCATTGTAGGTTATTTTGCAAGGTGAGTCTGATTATCCATTTAGTCTGGAGGGCTTCAGTCTGTCGAGCCGGGCCTATAATTCCGCCCTCCTCTGTCTTTGGATTGCTTGACGATTTGCCATGCGACCTTGTTAATGAAATGTTGTTTATCCGGGTTGCCTGTCCATAGGTAGGTTGCTGCCCTGTGACAAATTTGTTTTTGGAAGTCTAAGGTGGGGAACCATATCGATGTGGAGTACCACATCATTGATGCGATTGAGTTATTCAGGGCTAAGGCTCTTCCGAGACGTGAGGTGTGAACTCCTTGCCAACTGTGCATTTCGTTGATCAGTGACGGCATTAGGGGTGCGGCCGACGAGAGGTGGCACCCTTTCGTGCAGAGGTTTATGCCTAGGAAGCGGATTGGTGTGGTTGGGTCTGTCCATTCTAACCCTTATGGGGATAGTTCTATGGGAGGGGGTGAGTCCACTAGCCACCAACCGACAGTCTTTGTCCAATTCACTTTCATTTCTGATGCTAATTGAAAGGCTTGCATAGCTCTTGTGAGGGCTTGGAAAGCGGAATTTGATGCTCTTATAAGGACCGTGAGGTCATCCACGAAGAGTAAGGTAGATGGAAGGTGGAGTGTGTGGCGTCTATCGTCCTTGATACTATCTAATCTTTCTATGGATCTGTCCTTTCTGAGGAAGGCCGCGCTTGCTTCCATAACAAAGAGGAAAATGGGGGCTGCAAGTGGGTCTCCCTGTCTTACCGATCTTGTCATTTTGTATGGTTTGGAGAGGAAGTCGTGTACCTGGACTATGCCCTGTGCATCTTTGTAGAGGATTCTTAATTTCTTACCCATTTACGAAAGTTCGGACCTACTCCCATTTTCTCCATGCAGGTCTGTAGGAAGTCCCAGTTGACTTGGTCGTAGGCTTTCTCAAAGTCAAAGAAGAGTAACTTAAAGTAGTTTCCCCAACCTGAAATCAACGGAACCAAAGCACTGATGAGTCGGTGTACAGTGGAACCTTTGTGAGATTGTATTACAAAACGAGTTTGCGAAAGAAGTGTTTCCTGTGATTTCTTGGACGGAGCAACTCTGCTGACGAGCCCGTGGGATTCAGACGCGAAGCGTCTGCTCTTCGAGCCTTTGCCAAGGTGGAGAACGTCATGTGCTAAGAAATGGAATCCTTCTCCCGTAGTGACTATGCGAGTTTGATCAGGCACAAAGTGAAGGCCCATGGGTTGGAGCCATTGTGATAGGAACCCTTGAGCGCCCTGAACAACTCTYCGAGCCTTGTGAAGAACAACGAAATCATCGGCGTATCTTACTAGGATAACTCGGCCTTCGGCCGCTTGTTGCTGAGCCCACTCATTCAAAGCATTCTCCATTCGGTGCAAAGCAATGTTGGCCAGTAAAGGCGAGTCTTTCTCACACACATCATTCATACAGCTCGTACTTTGTTGTAGTTATTCGTTTCTGAGTGATTAGCCTGGTGGACTCACAGAGGGTCATAACGTTGTCTAGTATGAGCCTGCCTGGAATGAATCCTGTTTGGTCTAGATGGAAGCAGTTACCGGTGATGTGGTTGATTCTTGTGGCTAAGAGTTTGGCCAAGATTTTGTAGGCGACATTGAGGAGGGATATGGGTCTGTAATTTTTTATGTTCTTTCTGTCTCCTTTCTTGTAGAGTAAGGTCACAACTCCGGTGCTCAGATCTGGCTTCAAGGATTCTTGTTCCCATGCCTTATTAAGGAAGCGTAGGTAGAGGGGGCCGAGGGGAACGGTGTTCATGATCCACGCCCAGAAGCAAATTTCACAATACGGTCCACCCACAAACTCCCGCCGCAAAGCAGTTTAAGCAACACCATACTGTGAAAAAAGCTTACCTTGCGGTCGACCCGTGGAGTCGGCGATTGAGCAAAGCCGTATTGTGACCCATCTAATGTCAGCCTGAACTGGCTTCCTGCACATGCATTATGAAGTCCAAAGGCAAAAACGTATACAGAGCACAAAGACGACCAGATTCAGAAATCCATGAGCGAGCAGCACACTTCTGGTAATACAGCTTTCCATGTGAATCTGGTCTGCAGAATGAGCCAGACACGCGATACCAATCCCATTGAAGCGTCTTATGCAACAGGCCATGCCAAAGACTGAGGGAAACTATACTCGGGTAAAGGTCCTACATGCCAACCAGACACACTATACTCTATAGGCTGACCTCCCTCAGTGAAGGGATGTATGTGGACAGTCAGGCTGTCAGCGTGCTTGGACAATTGCTATTCATTACACACTAAGGTGCTGCCCTACTTACCTTTTCCTTTTTTTTCCCTTCCCCCCCC